GAAATTTTCGAAGAAACTGCTGAAAATAAAACCCCATGGGCCTCAATAGACAAGACCCTGGTAAGTTTTGAGACCATGAAAGAAGTCATCAAGGAACGAGGAGAGGAGAAGATATTTGGTCATCTGAAGGAATTATATGAATATTGGAAGTCTCGACGGCATGCCTGTGATAATCACGGCATTCAGCCTAGTCTGAAGTTTGAAACTCACCAAGATCAAGACGAAGGCGATCCATATGTTTGCTTCCGGCGCCGTGAAGTCAGAGCCACCAGGAAAACCCGAGCAAGAGATATGCAAATCACAGATAAGGTTAGGAGACTGAGAAAGGAAATGGAAGAAGCAAGGGACCTGATTAAAATGGCGACCGAACGCGAAACTTATAAGAAAAAACTCTTGCAATGCGAACGTTCCGTATTCGAATCTCGTAGTGAAATCAAGAGCCTCAAGATCAAGCTGGGTATCAAGAGTGATCCTGATGACGAACTTCTCATCAATCAGAAGGTATGCATAATCTCGACCATTGGAAGAGAGTTCGAACATCCTACTGACAATTTGAAGCCACAGAAGAGGAAGGCCATGGACTTTCAAAATGTGCAACGCCAGCCAGCTCCACTTCGTATTCCACCTCGCCCTGATGGTCGCGGAATCGAAATGGATATGGTACAGTTAAGTCATGTGCTAGCCCAAAAGGAGAATATGCTGCAAAGAGAGCTCGAGGAGAAATCCGCACAGCATATCAAGTGGAATGAGAACTTCATTGACTGCACAAGGGAACCACTCCTACCAGTTGAAGGACAAAGCTCGAATACGGGCTTTCGCCCAGCAACAGCTCAATACAGTCAGTATTTACTGACGCCACCATCATCTGTGACTTCCGACTCGTTTGATCAAGCATCTCCAGTGAGCCAAGAAAAACCAGACGCGGTGACCGTGCGGTATAGTACACCTCCAGAAGAAGACGATCGTCGTTCGCAACCAGCATATCGGAGACGAATTGGCCGAGGTGGCCGGCTGTGGATAGACCGGAGAGGAATGTCTACAGCTGTCAACAAAAGCATGGAGAGGAAATCTGATCGTTGGAAATATGACGAGGATGAGGATGAGGATGACGGACAGCCTGTATACGAGGTTGACCCGTATGATACCAACCCTCTACGCTTTAGATCCACAATACCTCTTTCAGGTCATTTGTATCCGGATGCACATCGGCGAAGCATGTTCCAACATCAATCGCAATCGAACAGGACTGGTACTGGAGGTAGTCCTGGTAACAACCGAGCAATCGGGCCTCCAATCCAACATAGTAATTAGGAATTTTCTTTTTCACGACAACTGAGTTGTCACTTTACCAGAAGCGGCTCCATTGTGAGGCTTCTTTGTAAATCAACTTCTGCAGGGTTCAACGGGCAATGGGGGGTAGGGGCGTTACCCAGGGAAAGGGCTGAGCGTTGATTTGTTGTCATTAGAAGTTTTGTCCGAAAGTACCCAAGGAGGGTATCTAGGCGACCTATATGTATTTTAGCGCTCATGAACGAGCAAAAGATCATTATGAAATGATTAAGAGGAGTCAAATATGACGCCCAATTAATAATCTCCTCCAAAAGCACTCCCAGAGCAAAATGAAAAGCTTTGTGACCTACCAACCAAAGAGTTCTTGGCATCAATTGAATTGACACTCTACCCAGAACGTCCCTTTTTCTTTGGCTGTTCCATGTCCTCCCCCTTTCTCTTCGCATTTTTCATTGTTCCCTCCTTTAAAGGCGTAAGCCTCATACGATGGTTGCCACCCGAAAATGTACCTGCTTCTTGAATAGCTGCTCGCAACACTTTTTTCTCTCCAGAACGTACTTGAATCGCCATAGCGGTTCGAATTGGGAGATTCGCGTTCTTGAGAAGATCTTCGTCCTCTTCAAGAGTAGTCGAGTACTCGTTTTCTCTCGCTCGCAACAAAATTGCTAGGACCTGACCTGCAAGCTCCGTGGTAAGTTTGGAACGGCTTGGTAGACTGCTCTCTGAATCCAAGATAGCTTTAAGATGACTTTCGTCAACAAGCAAGAGATACAGAAATGCTAAAAGCTCATCTGGTATACTTGGCTCATCTGGACTAGAGTGAACGAGATCAAATGACTCGTCATAGATGCCTTCTCGTTCGGCCAAGTCAAGACGAACTTTCAACTTATCTTGGGTGAGCTTTGGCAACGATGGATGAACCTTGCCGTTCCGGAACAAGGAAACAATGAATTCCGCCGAGATCTCAGCCACATCGTATGTGGAGTATCCGTCTGTGACATAACCGTACCTCCTTAAAAGATCAGACCTGGGAAGCTGGCCATAACTAAAAGTCTCTGTCAGTGAACCGCAAACGCAGCTGAAATTGTGATTGAGGAAAAGACGAACTCGTTGAATATTTCTTCCCCCTTCGCGATAGGTTTGATTGCTCGCATCTCTAGTTCCTCGTTATCGCAGATCAAGCGGGCATTGTTCTTGTCTGCATCTGCATTGAGCATATCGGCCAACGGAATCATAGATAATATGGTTTTTTCATCTTCCCCATCATCGGAAACCAGGTCATCTGCCGCTTCTTCTCCTTTGCCGCCGGAAGTTGGACCATCGGAGGGATCTGGTATGTCGAATGCATACGCCATGATAACAGAAGCTACTTTGTGACACATCTCTGTGCTAGAATGCTGTAAGCCTTGCGGAGTTATGTAAGTTTTGAACATATCTTCAGCACCCTGTTTTCCGATTTTCTTCACTACTGCACTCGCTTGCAATTCTGCGAGCTCGCTATCCGACCAGAAAACCAAGCTATTCAATTCCTCTGGTAGTATCGCGAGGTATGGAGCCCAATTAGAATCGTCTACTTGTCCTTCCGCCATAAGTATCGAGGTGAGCGCCTGAAATCCAGTCAATCATTAAATTCAAATCTCATCGAGACGCCCATAACTACTTACCAGCCAGCTCGGCATCTTCTCTGCAAGTCGTTTCGAAATCGCAAGGGGCTTCGCATTCTGAGCATTTAGCACGGCACTGCGTGGGATGCTGAAGATAATTTCGTCATCATCAATGTCTTCTATGGCCACTATTACATGTCAGCGAGAAATCCTCTTCGGATCACTCCATAAAGATTAACAGAAAGCAGGTAGCAGCTCTTTGATCAAAGCCATACCACAGTAGTAATAGAAATGTTAAGAAAGAATGGATCGTACCGACACCTCGTCCTCGACCTTCTTGACGGAGGTCCACCAAGGCCATCTTTGGATTAGTCCGGATACCCATTTCCTGGAGCCATGCTGAGAAAGTTGCTGTTCTAGCTTCAAAATCGTCGACGTCCATAATTTCAGTACGCTGACTTATGCTGCTGAAAAGATAATGTACGTGGTTGTGTGTAATGTAGGATCAGAATTGGCGCAAGTGATAGTAAGTACTGTAATTTCTAAACTCGCACCAAAGCGACAAGTCGCTAAAATAAACCGAGCAAATCAAGGGGCCCTAGTCCTGATAGGGACAGAATGTGGGGCATTGCAAGGTCAGCAGGAAAAATTTCGCACTCTTGTAGTTATTGATTGCAGTTGAACGAAAAGTACTAGTATCATATACTGCATTAATTTTCTTGATTGTGCACATATGATTAAACCGTTCTAGATGTTGGTTGTGAATCTACCTAGATATTTGAAACCATCAAGTCACCTAGCAATTCTATATATTGCGCTTACGTTACTTATTTTCAGCATAATCCTTATCGATTAGTTCTACTTGTTATTTTCAGCCTTGTCTAATTTAGCGGCCGAGGGCATTGGGCCTTATCCATTTCATCGTCGACCCCTCCTTGATTTATATTTTATTGTTGAAATTTATAGAACCCAACAGCGAAAATGATTGCTATAGGGCTTGAAGGTAGTGCTAACAAATTGGGTGTTGGTGTTATATCACATCCTTCCAAAGGCAAACCGGCCGAAATTCTTTCCAATATTCGACACACTTTTGTGTCGCCTCCAGGAGAAGGTTTCCTACCAAAAGATACTGCGAAGCATCATCGGTCATGGGTCGTAAAACTTGTGAAGCAAGCTATGGCGCAAGCTGGAGTAAAAGTATCTGATATCGACTGTATATGTTATACAAAAGGCCCTGGCATGGGAGCACCTCTCCAGAGCGTCGCTATCGCAGCGCGAATGCTTTCTCTGTTGTGGGGTAAAGAGTTGGTAGGGGTAAATCATTGCGTCGGGCATATAGAAATGGGTCGAGAGATTACTGGGGCACAAAATCCGGTCGTTCTATACGTTAGCGGAGGAAATACCCAGGTGATTGCATATGCAGAGCAACGATATCGAATTTTTGGAGAAGCGTTAGATATTGCAGTTGGTAACTGTTTGGATCGTTTCGCAAGGACCCTGGAAATTAGCAACGACCCTGCACCGGGATACAATATCGAACAACTAGCAAAGAAGGGAAAGGTGTTACTAGATCTGCCATATGCGGTGAAAGGAATGGACTGTTCGTTCTCTGGAATCTTGGCAAGCATTGATATACTCGCGGCGGAACTTAAGGCGAACCCGGAGCAAAAAGACCCGATCACTGGAGAAGTTATTACCACGTCAGATTTGTGTTTCAGCCTGCAGGAAACTGTGTATGCGATGCTGGTGGAGATCACAGAACGAGCTATGGCTCATGTAGGGAGCAACCAAGTCCTCATTGTGGGAGGCGTAGGTTGTAATGAGAGGCTACAAGAAATGATGGGGTTGATGGCAAGAGATAGGGGAGGCAGCGTTTTCGCAACCGACGAACGTTTTTGCATTGATAATGGTATAATGATAGCACAGGCTGGACTTTTGGCGTACGAAACTGGCTTCAGAACTCCATTGGAAGAGAGCACATGTACTCAGAGGTTCAGAACGGATCAAGTCTTCGTCAAATGGAGAGATTGAATAATATATTAAGAACTTAATCCTGTCATCTCAAGAGGGCTCGCACAGACTTGCATATCGCTGCTCCTACTCTGATTAAAATCCATCATCGGAGTCATCATCTTCCTCAATTATGATCTGCGCCGATAGCCCGTGCTCGTCCTTCTTTCTGCCTCCATCCTTTTCCAGCCATCCGGAATGTCTCTTCTCCACAGAAGGGTCGACCTTCCATTTCAATGGATCCGATTTCGAGTTTCTCTTCTTATGTTCTCGTGCGGCGCGTATCGATGCCACAGAACGATCCGTGTCTTCAGGGTCTGATGTCAATTTGAACAGTGATGCGAGTATGTTGGAGGAAACTCGTAACAACAAACCTGTGATCAAGCCGATGACGATTGCAGACCCCAAGAATATGATGATGGTCTGATAGTTGTTAGCTGTAATCCATCAATTTGTTATTGCATCAAGCTTGCCTCGAATTTCGCGACTACTCTCAAGGGAAGAAGCATAGCAGAAACCAAAGAGTTTCCCAAATGTAGCAGTGGGGCCAGAGCAATCCTAAGAATAGCCAACAGCCAGTTGGAAATAACAATAATTGGCAAGGAAATATAATAAAAAGTGCTTCCTGTAATCGACAGCCATGTTGTACTTGAGAATTCCATAATGGATATTGAATGAGTTGTCTGAAATGACAGGAAGATGGAAGGCTAGCAGACAAGATCTGTTCTACACCTATGTTGTATGATCTAATGCTTAAGTAGAACTTGTAATATTCTTGAAATTCTCATGGTTTGAGCCTTCACGGGACTGTTTTTGCTGTAAATGAGTGGTGATATTGATGTTTGATTAAATAGGACTACAATCATTTAGGTAATACCACTACTACCTCTGTACTGATGTGTGATGAAGGAAAGAATGGAGGAATAGAACAATAGAAGAATGAAAGAAGCTTCAATGAAGGCACAGACCAAGTCAGCTACTGTAACAAGGATTCAAAGCATCGTCTCAATTTTTGTGGGTTGGTCTTCAATAAAGCTGATTGTGGGGTTGAAGGAACAAACCTTAAGGAAGGAATCAACTTCCAAGCCTCGCTCCAGAATCTTTTCCACGAAAGAAGAAACCCAATTTTTTTACTGTACTTAAAAACCTCAAGCTCAAATTTGATTATTTATAAGATACCCTTTAACAAGTACAGGTCATCCAGACTCGTGGAACAATATATTCATTTCAAATCATAATCAAAAAATACTTATTTACAACTCGTGAGATAGCTTTGCTCCACCGACCGTTCCCCTCGACCCTCTGCCTTTCTTTTCCTCTAAAGGGCTCTCACTCCCCGGAAAGGAATCATTTTTGAGTACGTTGGTTAGAATCACACGACCACTTTCATAATGGGAAATACACCCTCTACCAACACGAGGCCAACTGCTTCGACACCTCATTCGCATTCTCCCGCACCCTCGAGCCATAGTAATGACTCATCAAGAACATCCTCAGCTCGCAGAGATCCAAGGAATTTGATACACACGCATAGGACTGCTGCGAGAGCAGAACCTTCTCTTGCACAGGCTCACGGATCGAATGTCACACACCGCCCGCGCAACTCCCAATCACACCCTGCTGCACAATTCAATAATTCTTTGCCGAATTCGGGAGTCAATACACCTTCGGCGCATGACAGAGAACCACAAGCAGGCCTGCAATCACATAGACAGGAACCAGAGACAGAAAAGATCGCCGTGAGAGATCAGCCAACCAAGCCAGTTGATGTTCCCATGCCATCCTCCAATTACGACACTGCAACGTCCAGATCCCATTCACATTCCCTATCGAGCCCTCAAGCCACATCTGTCGACCCTTCTGGTCCCCCCTTCAGGATATGTCGTATCATCTTTCGCGACCTCCGAGGCTTCCACTGCCAATTGAGGAGGAAGTGCACACCCCAGGGTCGCCTCTAGTCACACCGGCTGATTCGATCGCCCCAGCTATAGATATAGATGCTCTGGACAATGAACCACCGCTTGCAAGACGGAATTCGGCGTTAAGTAGTACGACGATAGATGAAGAGGACGCCGAGGAAATTCAAATCGATCGGACCAAGGCAACGGTACCAACCTTATTCGAGTGGAGAGAAGGCGGAGAGAAAGTTTATGTAACTGGAACCATATTTCAGTGGAATAAGAAGCAAAGATTGAGTGCAGTGTGAGTTCTAGTCTTTCCAATGAACCCTTTGAACTCCAACGTTTTGACAGTACACTAATATTTCCCAGAGAAGGAGAGCCGGGACTTTTGAAAGCGATAATTCATGTACGACCTGGAACTCACCACGTTCGATTTATTCAAGATGGCATTATGAAATGCTCAGCACTTCTTCCAACAACCGTCGATTTCGGCAACAATCTAGTCAATTACATTGAAGTCAGCGCCGATGACCTGCCTAACGATGAGGGTTCTGTAAATATACCTAGCGAACCAATTGGAGGTTCGGAAACCAAGCCTGAAATCACCCAGCCCGAGCCAGTACCTGCAGAAGAGAGGACGAAGCCGAAGCCAGTCTCCAAGATGAAGCGCGCAATCTCCCAGAGTCAATTTACTTCAGAAATTCCACAATACCTCATAGATATGGATAAACCCGAAGACTCCAGAGAATACCGGTACGCAATTGCTGCTATAGACAAATTGCCTCCTCCACCTACTCTCCCAGGGTTTTTGGGAAAACCTATCTTGAATGCCAATGCACCGATGAAGGATGACAACAGTGTTCTCATTATGCCTAACCACACTGTTCTCAATCATCTAGCTACGAGCAGCATTAAGAACAATGTTCTTGCTGTTTCTGCCACTACGAGATATAAGCGAAAGGTACGGGAGCGTCTTTAACAATTTATATTATGTACTAATTCGCAATGTAGTATGTCACAACAATCATGTATAAGCCTACAGCGGAGGAATAAGAATAAGAATAAGAAACAGCAATGCGAGATGTTATAGTCTATGAATAGTGAAGCTGGTGGGCCTGGATATCAACGAATTTCATACCTGCATCGAGTAAGTAACAATTTGAGCAGATCAGCTTGCTTCGCATGATTTCTCGATGGCAAACTACATGCAGAATATTCCAATGAAGAAAATTAATCACAAATGATGACCTAATTGTTTATCGCAATGTTTAAATTATGACAATAGCAATGGCATTGCAAATTCAGTACACAATCCACTTGCAAGCTCATTAAAGCGCACTCGAAGCTACTTCCTAGTACTCCCGCATAAATTCCACCTACCCCTTATCTATTTTAAGCTTCTGTACCCATCCGATCTCTCCCCGCTAATGGCACGTGCCGATAAGCCCCGCTTCCTGCGATAAGATTTTTTTTCCAAAAAGTTGATGCCAAGAGAAAAACAGTATCGCGGAGGTAGCACAGGCTTTCCCCAATTCTCCAGCGCGAACATCATCAAGCCGCATTTTGCACAATTTCAAATACGAGACTGTCATAAATATTTCCAAACTGAATCTTCCAAGACCTAAGGTCACATCACTCCGTTTATTCGAATATCTTTTGAGATATCTGCCAACGAAAGCCAAGTAATCCTCGAATCTCAAACTCTCAAGCTCGAACACATCCAAGTTCGCAATTTTACAAGCTCGTCATTATGCGCACACAGCCAAACATTATAATAACAGGTACGCCTGGTGTAGGAAAGACTACTCATTGCGAACAATTGGCTGAGAGTACCGGATTGAAACACTTGAGTGTCAATGATGTGGTTAAGGAGAAGGGGTGTCATGAGGGCTGGGATGATGAATTGAAGACTTGGATTGTGGATGAGGATAAGGTTGGTTTGATTTCTTTTGCGAGCCTGACAGGGGATTCATTACAATGGAATATTGAGACTTTATTGGGAGTTTTTGGCTAATTGATTGGGAATCTATAGCTATTGGATGAAATAGAAGAAGATGTCAAGCAAGGCGGATATATCATCGATTGGCATGCTTGCGAATTATTTCCGAAAAGTTGGATTGATCTGGTGGTTGTGTTGAGGGTGGATTCGACGCTGCTGTATGACCGGTTGAAGGCGAGGTACGTTTCCTCTAACTTTGTGCGGAGGGAGACTGCATCTAGAGTGTAGCAACGACAGGGAGCGGTGATCGAGAAAGCTGACTCTAATCAAAATACAGGAATTATCCAGAAGCCAAACTGCAAGAGAATTTAGATGCGGAAATCATGGAGGTACTACTTGATGAAGCGAGAGAGAGTTATGATGAGGAGATTGTGGTGGAGCTACGGAGTGATACAAGTGATGAGGTGGAGAGTAATGTGGAGAGGGTTGAGGCATGGGTTAAACAATGGAAGAAGGATCACGCGGAGGATGAGCAGTGATATTATTAGGCATGGATTGTTGTTGCTCGGTCCCTGAAGTATTTTTGAGCTTCAGAGAGCACTATCTATCTGTCACTCCATTCCTTGTCCTCTGTTTATTGGACTCTATGCTTCTTCTTGCAGCCATGTCTTCAACTTTTCGAGTGCTCGGAAACGATGAGAGATTTTGTTCTTCTCAACTTTCTCCATCTCGGCGTATCTAAAGGGGGCGGGGTCAATATCTATGTGATATGATGGAATGAAAACACAAAATGGATTAGGAAAGAGTTCTTACGTTTGACCTTCATACTCGAAAATAGGATCCCAGCCTATAAATCAAGGAACATTAGTAAAAAGGGGTATTTTTAGTGGTGTAGTAGAACATACCAAATGCAGCTGGACCTCTTGCAGGTACAATCTTGCCCTGGGAAGTGTTAGAGCCATACGACGGCACGCAGGAATATGGGGAAACACTTACGTCTGTTCTTCCTTGGAAGATAATAGGTTCATGACCTGGGCCTTTAGAATAGGCAAACGTACACACTGCTTGTGCAGATTTATCTGAAAAGCCAACAAGCATATTATTCAGTCCATCATGACCTAATTTATCCATAAACCATTTACTGCCTATTATCAGTGACCAGAACACTCTCAATGTAATTCTTGACCGGGAAATCTTACATATATGGACCAGGCAATTCCTTCAAGGCATTGAAACACAAACATGTATCCTCAACTAGCACTGGACCTTGAATCTAGATTTGATATTAGTAACACTCAAAGGCTGGGGAACATGGAAGCACACAATTTCAGCAGCTCTTCGACATTTGTCGCTGGAGATTTCCTCAATCGTCCCTTGGATCTCAACGAGGTCGAGAGATTGACTTTGAAGGTCAATGGTATCACCCAAAATAGCTTTCACCTCGACAAGTTTGTTTTTGTTGCCGGTGATGAAATTGAGGGTTTTGGGAGGAGCCATGATGAATGGAGATGTGAAGATTTTTCTATGCAGGGAAAGAAGTTGTTGATGGGCGAGCGTGTGAGAGTTGAAGTTCAAGAAGGGAAGCAAAAAATAAAATCGTAGGCTCTATAAAATGTTGTATCTTCAAATTCCTATTCTTGAATTGTATTGTGATATACACGGAGCTTCGACTCATCCGGTCAAAAAGTAGTGCAGCTGCATTGGCGAATATGGATCGTGCAATCCCAGCACCACACCATATCCACCAAAACTGTTGGCGGCATCGATAGACTCTAACAACCACACCGAAAAATCCTAGCTACTAGGTAAAGTAATGATTAATTACCCGATTCATCTTCTTTCTCAACAATAAGTTATCCTCCATCATGGATGATTTCTATCAGCCTCTCACGAATTCCACCGATGCCATTGACACCTCGAAATCTGGAGGGTTGATTACAAATGCCCTCACAATTATTCGTTCGGTGCCGTTGCCTATTGTTCTTAGTATCGCTTTAGCACCGGCACTTCTGATTGTAGCAACTAGACTACTGAGCGAGAGGCCGTCGGAAAAGCAAAAGGGGAAGGATGGAAAATCGGTTTGGATGCCGGCTTATTGGGTGCCAGGGTTGGGACATATGGTTGCATTGTACGTCTCACGTGCCATATAGGGGTAGTGGAGTTTCGAGACTGATGAAAGGATAGTTTGACGAATGGAGAGAAGTTGACTAGCGAATTAAGGTACTTAGAATCCTGGATTCTGGCTGTATGAAATAGATGCTGACGAGTGTATAGAGACCAAAGTGCCCATGGTGAGTTCGGCCCAAAACGTTTCCCGAAGCGGGATTTTTTTAATGTTTGGAGGCTTTTGGACCCTCAGCATTTATGATTGAGGGCATTGCAATGCAATCTTTAAACGTTACATAGGTACTGACATATTGAGCTAGGTATATTTGCGCTTAATCTCGGAGGCTCTACCCATAACATCAGTAAGTCGCTTGCATTTCCCGAGCAGCTACATAAAGACTGATCAATATAGTCTCAAATCCAAACTTGGTAAAGGCGTAAGTATATGAGCGAGGGCATATTCATATCCGCGATGACTAAAATTATATCAGAGTACTACAGAAAAAGGAATCAGATGTTGCATTTAAACCTGTTGCGTTGGATCTGTCAACAAAGGTAGGTACTTCACTGCCACAAAATTGAAACTAATGAGTTGGCATAGCTTATGTTGCTAACAAATATTTTAGTTTTTTGGACTACCCAAAAAGGCAGAGAAAGTATATATGGACAATTGGGAGGTAAGACTGCTTCAATCTGATTACTACACCAAGCTAAATATTGTCACAAGGAATACACATCCATTTTCACTTATCTCATGAAAGAACCATATCTCAGTAGCATGTTGGACAAAACCCTACGCAACCTTGAGAGGCTAATTCCACAGATGATTTCATTCATGGACAGTGAGATAGATCAACATATGTGGGAGAAATGGGCCAATGCGGAGTACATTTCAAACAACGAAATGGAGGTTGATCTTATGGCCTTGGTACGAGATATACTTGGGCACGCTTCCGTACCATCTCTTTTCGGACGTGAATTTCTGGATAACAATCCACATGTCCTGCATGATATTTATGAGATGGATCGTGGTATGATGTATTTCGTTATGGGCCTTCCATGGTTCACTCCTTGGCCTGCTGTTGCTAGAGCTCATTATTCTCGCTCCCAAATTCAGCAAAGTATGATAAAATTTCAAGAGGCTCTTGATGCTTCAGTAGATGGGAAGCCAATGGACTCTTCATGGGGTGATTTAGACGACGTTAGCGACTTCATCCTAAAAAGACATGAACTGTTTAGAAGTAAGATTACAGAGAACTTTATCCTTATAACAACTGACATTATGGTAGAACATGGCCTAAAGCCGAATGAGCGCGGAGATGTTTCTGTAAGTTAGCATTTCTTCCGCCTCTCAAGTCAATATCTAACATTAGTATTAGATTATCTGGGCTCTCACAGTGAACTCTACCCTCGTCGTCTACTGGCACCTCCTTTACATCCTCTCCACCCCTGGGCTTGCCGACAAGATCCGTGCCGAAATCTCCCCCTATGCAACTGTCACCCCTGGCGAGAAAATCGGCTCCATCTCAGAAGCTCCGCGCATCCACCTATCCCACGAAGACCTATCCAAGAAGTGTCCCCTTTTCAAATCCACCTATCTAGAAGCCTCACGATTATCTTCCCAACCTATATCTCTCCGAAAACTGGAAAACGACATCACCCTCACCGATGCATCATCTGGCAAAGACACTGACAAAACTACCTACATGCTCCACAAAAACGAATATGTAACCCTCCCCCACGATCTCCACATGCGCGACCCCTCATACTTCCCCTCCCCCACTGAATTCAACCCCGAGCGTTTCCTCGTCACCGATGAAACTGGCAAAACATCCGTCGACCCTCAAACTATCCGACCCTATGGTGGCGGACCCAGTATGTGCAAAGGACGCGTATATGCTGAGCGAGAATGTCTGGCTTTCGTGGCTGGGATCCTTATGTATTGGGACATTGGACCCGTTGCGAAGAAAGGGGAGAAGAAGGGTAAATGGACGATTCCTAAGATGGT